CTCCCTCATGAACCCTTGATAATTTATAAATTATTATTTTGTCATATCTTACACTGTCTGACGTTTCCCTTCACCCACTTTTCTGTTGTCCATCCCCCAGGGAGGAGGTTATATGTAGATCCCTGTAATCGGTTCCCCCCCCCTTCTGCCCCATCGTGTGTGGTTTTTAACCTGTTTTGCTCTGTTATTCTTGTTAGGCTTTTTGTTTTGTTTTGCTTTTCTGTATGTGAAATCCAGGGTAGGTAAACCTATAGTGATAGTAACTGGATTAATGGTTCCTTGGAAATGTGGCTGGGGAGGTCTAAGGGAAATGGGACGCTAATAACCATGAGCACAAGAATGAAGAATATGTTCTAAAACTGATTGTACAATTCTTTATGTAATTGAACTATTGAATTGTATAGTGTGTGAATTTTCTGCCAATAAAGCTGTTGGGGGGGTGATTAAAGAACTAATCGGGTTGTAAGATGCAAGTTGGGTATTGCAAATGATTCACGTGCTTGGTTCCTAACGCAAAGGTTGACAGTTCAAGTCAACCTCAGAAGCAAACCCTTCAGTCTACTTCTGATAAAGCAGCTCTTGGGAACCCTGTAGAACACACTTCTCTCACATACATGGGGTCACCATGAGTTGAGTCAACTCGACAGCAACTGGTTAAGGCATATGTGAAGAAATCTTGAAAATAGAATTCAAAGAGACATTTAAGAAAGAAGATAAACGCCACAGAAGATCAATACAGGGGTTTAATACCAAGCTAACAATTTAAAAAACAAAGTAGTAAAAGCAAAGGAGGACAGGAGAAGTGTGGGCGGATGATGAAGTAGCAAGGAGCCTGTCCTAGAACTTCAGTCAGCTTGTGTGGTAGTTACATAATCTGTTGTCAATTTGCGATTTAAGAGTGAAGGGGTGGAGTTTAGCTGTCAATCAGGTTGTAGCTTGATGACCTCATTTGAAGGCACTAAGGATATAAATATCTCAGTGGGACATGCACTGGCTCCGTGAGACATTCCTGAGGACAAGACGTGGAGCTCTGTTAGAGCCCTGGAGTTGGAGGAGCCATGTGGAGACCCCTGTCAGCATTGAGATGCTTCCATAAGACTTTCCACCCACTGGTCTGTGATCTTCCTGCATTCAGCTAGTCATTACATGTGTTGTGTGAGTCTAAAGAAGAATTTATAGCTTGGTATCGGACATATGGGCTATTATTAGACTTATGGACTTGATCTGGGATGTTTACTCCATATTCAACTGCTCTTGTGTATACAGCTGTTTCTTATACACATATTATGAGTGTCTATGAATTTGTTTTTCTAGTCAACCCAGACTAATACAGCTTGCAAGAGCCAAAAGTGTAACAGGTGTGATGAGTAAAAAGATCTACACCAATATGTAGCAAAAAGCTTTGTGGCATAGTGGATTGTGTAGGATAGTGGATTGTGTAGGGGGCTGCTAACCACGTGGTCAGCAGTTAGAAACCACCAGCTGCTCTGTGGGGAAAAAATGAGGCATTCTAATAAAGCGCTTCAGTCTTGGAGTAGTTCTGTCCTTTAAGGGTTAGAATCGACTCGGCTATATTTTCCTTTGTTTTGTGGAATGTATAGCACTGAGTTTCAGAACCTCAAGAGTATATGAAGAGGAAATCTTAAAATCTCCCTCTCAAAAAAAAATTATTGCCATCAAGTAAATTTAATTGTAGCAGATACCTCTAAACTGCAATTCCATGTGAAGTTACATACAGGATCACAAACTTTACTTACCATGCAGCTTTTTTTCTTTCAAAGACTGCTAGAGAAAAGCGTACTCCACAAAGATTGAGAGTAAACCAAAAAAGACAACAGAAGCAGGCTGAATATCAGTAGCAGGACCAGAACATTCATTCAACCCAGACTGGAGCAGTAGAATCAGAGCAGGAGAGCACCCCAAGGTGAAAAACGGTTATGTTTTCACTGTATTTGTTAGCTACCATTGAGTGTGTCGCTTCCAACCCAGCGACCCATGCCCAACACAATGAAACACTGCCTAGTCCTGTGCCATCCTCACAACTGTTCCTATGCGTGAGCACATCGTTACAGCCAGTGTCCACCCGTCTCATTGAGCGCCTTCCTCTCTTAATTGCTCCTCTAATGTATTTGACCATGTGGAAAATAAATGGCTTAGTCTCACCAATTAAGAAAGTCACACTGAATAATAGTGTAAAAGATCTATTTAAAGACAAAGGTTCAAAATAAAGGGATGTTTGAGGGAATGAATTACCGGACCTGCAAGCTCAGAACCATAGTCTCGATGCCAAGGTCAGTTGACATAACATAGTTCACAAAGGTGGAGTTGCAGTGGGGGTCTTAAAATCTGACGAGCAGGTCGTAGCAACCGCACTCCGCTGACCCAACACCCGTCTCGGTGTCTGCAGCCTCCTCCACTTCCTTCCTGGGCGAGGAGAACCAGCCGCCAGAAATCCATCATGTCTATCCTCAAGATGCACGCCAGAGAGAGCTTCGACTCCTGTGGAAATCCCACCGTTGAGGTCGATCTTTACACCGCCAAAGGGCTCTTCAGAGCTGCTGTGCCCAGTGGTGCCTCCACTGGGATCTATGAGGCCCTGGAGCTCCGGGACAATGATAAGACCCGGTATCTGGGCAAAGGTGTCTCAAAGGCTGTTGAGCACATCAATAAAGCGATTGCGCCTGCCCTGGTTAGCAAGAAGGTGAACGTGACGGAACAGGAAAAGATCGACAAGCTGATGATTGAGATGGATGGAACTGAGAATAAATCAAAATTTGGTGCAAATGCCATTCTGGGCGTGTCCCTCGCTGTGTGCAAGGCCAGAGCTGTTGAGACGGGAGTCCCCCTGTACCGTCACATTGCTGACTTGGCTGGCAATTCCCAAGTTATCCTGCCAGTTCCTGCTTTCAATGTGATCAACGGCGGCTCCCACGCCGGCAACAAGCTGGCCTTGCAGGAGTTCATGATCCTCCCTATCGGGGCAGCCAACTTCAAGGAGGCCATGCGCATCGGGGCCGAGGGGTACCACAACCTGAAGAACGTCATCAAGAAGTACGG